AACTGGCTTGCTGTGGTGAGGCAGGAGATTGTTGGGCTTGGAGAGGAAAGGGTCTGTGTTCTGAGAGTTGAGTTGTCCTCCTGCATTATCCTTTCCACCCCTCAGTCTCAGCCCTAGTATATCCTTTGCCATTTGACGCCACTTGAGTGCGGTACTGTGAACACATTTTCCTGCTTATTCATGAGTTTCTCAACCAGAGAAGTATTGCACCAATGGTTGTAGATTTGGTTGCCTTACACCATAGTGTAATGCCCCCTAAATTAGGCAACATAATTCAGAGCAGCATATCAAAGAATAATTGGGAGGTGGGAGTATAGCTCAGTAGTAGAGCACGTACTTAGCATGCAGGAGGTCCTGGATTGAATCCCCAGTACTGCCATTAAATAAATAAATAAATAAATAAGTGAACATAATCCCCCCCCCAAATTTTAAATAAAGAAGAATGTCCCGTGACCGGGGAATATAAAGGAGGCTTAAATGTTAAGAAATCTCTTAATTTGTTACAAAACTTGTGGGAAATTCTCGCCTTGTTACCTACTGTATAGGCAGTTCACAACACTGCGGCTTGCTTTTTATGACCAACAGGGGAGGGAGAGTGATTCAGAGTTGCAGGATGGAGTTGTTTATATTGTAACATAATCATAGGAGTGATATGCCATCATCTTTGCTATATTACATCGATTAGAACCAGTTCACAGTCGCCACCCATATTCAAAGGCCTCATTAGGAGGTTGGGATCGTAGGTGCCAGTCTAAGGCCTGTCTGCTACAGTACAATGTATGTACCACAGTTGGGCAATCCATTCATCAATTGAAGGGATATGGCATGTTTAAAGTGTTTATCAATTAGAGGTAAATCAGCTATTCACATTCATATACAGAGTTTTGTGTGAGCATATGTTTTTATTTCTCTATGGTGAATGCCTAGAAGAAGGATTTCTATGTCATATGATAAAAAAACCCTCTTCTCAAATTAGGAATAGAAGGGAAATCCTCTATCTAGTTAAGAGCATCTACAAAAACCTATAGCTAACATCATACTTAAATAAGAAAGCCAAAATGCTTTCGATCCTTATATCAAGAACAAGAGACACCTACTCTCACCACTTCAATTCAATATTGTACTGGAGGTTCCAATGGGTGCAGTAAGGAAAAGAAAAAAAAAGAAAGAAAGAAAGAGAAAAAAGGATTAAAAGGCATCTAGATTGCTAGATTGGTAGGAAGGAAGAAGGCAAACTTGTTATTCGAAGACTACTTGATTGTGTATACTGAAAACAGATTCTGTAGGATCTGGAATCAACAACAACCAAAAACTACAACTAATAGGTGAGTTCAGCAAGTTTGCAGAACATAAGGTGAATACACAAAAATCAATTGTGTTTCTTCTAACAAACAAAAGAACTTTGAAACTAAAGAAGTTTTTAAACACCATAAAACTGAAAAACTTAGAATTAAATGTAACAAAAAATTTAAAAATACAGAGCTTGTACACTGAAAAATACAGAACATTCCTGAGATATATTACAGAATGTCTGAGTATTAGATATTCATTTGAGTTGGAAGACAATATTTTTAAGACATCAATTCTCCCCAAATTGAGCTATAGATTCAAAGTCCTAATAAAAATTCTAATATGTAAAAATTCTAAAATTCGTATGGAAATGCAAATGACACACAATGGCTGAAACTAGTTCAAAATAGAATTAACTTGGAAAATTAATACTATTTGATTCCAAGATTCATAATAAAGCCACAGTAATTAAGACAGTGTAATATTGCCAGCAAGATAGACAAAAAGACTAATGGAACAGAATAGGCAATCCAGAAATAGACCCACACATATATGGCATTCTGACAAAGGTGTAAATGCAATTCAGAGGAAGAATGGTGTTCTTGTCAACAATGATACAGGAACAATTAGATATCCATCTACAAAAAAATAACTTTCAATCAATACCTCATACCAAATATAAAAATTAACTCAAAATGGTTCATAGACCTAATGGTAAAGCCTAAAAGTATAAAACTTCTAGAAGAAAACAGTAAAAAAAAAAACCGGCACAACCTTAGATTAAGCAAAGATGTCTTACCTACAACACCAAAAGGAGAATGCATAAAAGGAAAATTAGGTAAATTGAACTTCTAGAAATTAAAAAGTTTGTGTTCCTCAAAAGCACTGTTAAAATATCATATGATAACACTTATATGTGGAATCTAAAATATGATACAGGTGAACTTATTTACAAAACAGAAAGACTCAGAGACATAGACAAAAACTTATGGTTACTAAAGGGGAAACGGGGCCGGTGGGATAAATTAGGAATTTGAGATGAGCAGATACAAACTACTATATATAAAAAACCAACAAGGTCCTACTGTATATCACAGGGAACTATATTCAATAACTTGTAACAAACTATAATGGAACAGAATATGAAAATAACATATATATGCATAAGTGAATCATTTGCTGTATACCAGAAACTAATACAACACTGTAAATCAACTATACTTCAATTTAAAAAATAACACCCTTAAGAGAGTGAAAAGAAAAGGCACAGGCCGGGGGGGGGGCGAAATATAAATTACATGTCTTTATAAGAGAAGAGAACAACTCAACAATAAAAAAGGTAAACAACCCAATTAAAAATGGGCAAAATATTTGAACAGACATTTCACAAAAGATATATATGGCATATAAGCACACAAAAAAGATGTTCAACATCATTAATAATTAGGGATTGCAAACTAAAACCACGATGAGTTACCACTTCCTACCTACTAGAATGGCTAAAGTAAAAACAAAAACAAACAAACAAACACAAAACACAACCTGACAATAGTAAGTACCACTGAGTTTGAAGAGCAAATTAATCTCTCATACATTGCCAGTGGGAATACTGAATAGTAGAGCCATTTCAGGAAACATTTTTGGTGTATCATAAGGTTCCTTCATGCAACTTTGCAGAGTATTTAATTCCACCTCTCTTGAGATAACCACTATTCTGAATTCTATACACATTCAGTTTTGCCTATTCTTGACATTGGTATAAAAATTAATCATAAAAGTCTATACTATTTTGTCACTAATTGTCAGGGAAATGCAGATCAAAACCACATAGAGATATCATCTCACACCTGTCAGTATGGCTCTTATCAAAAGGAACACAAATAACAAATGCTGGCGAGGATGTGGAGAAAAGGAAACCCCCATACACTGTTGGTGGAAATGTAAATTGGTGCAGCCACTGTGGAAAACAGTATGGAGCTTTCTCAAAAAAATAATACTAGAACTACCATATGACCCAACAATTTTACTCCTTGATGTATATCCAAAAAAACCCCCAAAACCCCAAAACAAAAAAATCACTAATTCCAAAAGATATATGCACCCCAATGTCCATAGCAACATTATTTACAACTGCCAACATATGGCAACGACATAAGTGTCCATCAACAGATGAATGAAGAACATGTGGTATATACATACAATGGAATACTACTCACCATAAAAAGAATGAAATTTTCCCATTTGCAGCAACATGAATTGAACTGGAGGGTATCATGGTAAGTGAAATAAGGTAGACAGAGAAAGACAAATAGTGTATGGTATCACGTACATGGGCCTAAAAAATACAACAAAGTAGTGAATATAACAACAAAAAAAGCAGAATTACAGATACAGAGAACAAACTTGTGGTTTCCAGTGAGGTGAGGGAAGGGGAGGCAATATAGGAGTAGGAGA